GGCACTAGGTGTGGAATTCCTAGGCAAGGGCCTACAGCTTGTCAAGTTCAGTCTTATCTCCCCCTGCAGCTTGATCAAAATGGATGGCCAGGTTGCAAGAAACAATAGCTGGGGACCACCAAGAAGGCTGAGCTATTGACAGCCCTGAGTGGCAGATGTTGTTGGTGGAATGTCCCTTCCTCTCTCAAAAACAATCCAGCGATTTTACCTGAGCGCAGGGAGCCGGGCAAAAGGACTTGGAAGGAGCCCAGCCACCACCTCTGCAGCCATGGCCTCCAGGTCACCCAGCTGGCAGCCCTCTTGCTGTTTCAGGGACGATACTTGGGTCTCTGCAGCACGTCCTGCCGTCCTCTCCCGGACACCCTCCCTGACCAAGGCCTTTTCTAAAGCCAGAGGAGGGGCTCTGGGGGAAGAGTATTCAACCTGATGGGAAAATGCTTGATCAGTGGAAAGAACGGATTCCTTCTGGGCCCTTCTCCCCTCTAATGCAGCCCTTCCTGGTCTGCTGGGTCAGGAGGCTCCAACACTGATCCCCAGGTTCACTTCTTCCCACTTTGCCCCCACTTAGGAGTAAAGGGAGGGTGGGGGCTGGTTGTGAGACAGGCTGAGATACACCCCCCAGCTGGCCTCTCATCTCCCCGACCCGAGAACTTTCGGGAACCAGAAACTTACCGTTCAGGAAAGTACAAGAATGGCTAATTCTTCCAGCCACCCCTCCACTTTGCCACAATTTCCATTAGCACCAACATCACCACCTCCAGAGCCTGGGTGGCCTCCCGGCTTAGATAATTATTTTCTCATTAGTTCCGTTCACCTGCAACCTTCATTAGACACTGGTGTATCAAATGGTCATCTTTGGGCATATACGGCCAACTGGGTCCACTGCCCTGCCGGAGCCTGCCTCCCAGCCCTTTGCCCCATGCTCACTCCCTGGGGAAGGTGGCCTCACACTCTCTCTGGAACTCCTCTGACACACAAAAGTCCCGCATTAGCCAGGCATTTATCTGGGTTACGAACTGCCATCTTCCTGTGCCAGGAACGTATGTGAGGCAGCTCACATAGGAATAGGGGAGCCCCCCGGGGCAGCCAGAGAACCCTCAGAGGCTGCAGGGTTCCCCTAGAATACGTTCTGCCTCCTGGGCTGACAGCCCACGGGGTTGGCAGTCCCAGCCCCGAAATGGCCACCTGTCTCCACTCAGGCAAGAGCGTTTATTGAGCACCTCCTCTGTGGCAGGCACCGTGCTAGTTACTGGACTTCAGCAGGAAACCGAGGAAAGCCCCTTCCCCATAGCATTTCTTAGGTGACAACGTGTGCAGTTGCTAATATTTGGCTGTCTTTGACCTATGAGACCAACACTGAGCGCCGGGGCTCACTGGCCTTGCCCATCCTCAGGCGCCCATGCAAGGAGAACCCTGGCTGGCTCCAGCCTCCCCTCCTGCCTCTCAGAGCAGCTCCCTGCCCCTGGAGTCAGACGTGGATTTGAGTTCCGTCTCCAATGTTCTCTGTCTGGGTGACCGTGGACAAGTCGCCCAACTTCTCGGAGCCTGTGAATGGGGGGTCACACCAGCGCTTTCCTCCTTAGATCAAGTGGGGTCATGTGTATACAGCCCACCGTCAGCACCCAGCCAGGTCAGTTAGTTTGGGTTATTTGCTGTTTTCCGTAGGAGAGCTGTAGGAGGTTTCTTGAAACAGTCTCCTCATGTCTGTTCAGTGCCTACAGCCTCCAGCACTGTCTTCAGGATTGTTTCAAAACCTCAAAAAGACCTACTAGAAACATCTGCACAGACCAGCCAGGAGTTCTCCTTCTCTAGGAACTTGCTTTTCCCAAGCTCAAGGTCCGTAGCCTAAATGAAAGTTGGATGGAAGGATTAACTAGGCTTTCTACAATAAAAAAACTAACTAACGGGGAGATGTCCAAGAGCTCGTGCACGGGAGTTCAGGCTGTAACCAAATCCAAATGAGCAGGCACTCGGGTATTGTGAAGGCCAAACAGGAGAGCTGGGGGCCTGTGAGATGCTGCTTCTGTGTAGCAGTGACTACACGTCACCCTCAGCCTGCTCTGCTGGAATTCTCTTTGCCTCAATCAGGAGAAACCATTATGCCCTTCTCCACTGGAAGCCCTCCCATGTTTTTCCGAAATATAATTTGGAGCTCACTTGCATGTAAATATACCATAGATCTTCTGGGGGGACCTTTATCCCAGGACCCATCTCTGGCACTACCTGCAGTATCTCTGAGAATGGGCTGCAGGCAAGTGTTGATCCAGCCAAACCCTGGAGCTCATTAGGCCTCCCTTATCAGCTTAAGATTTGTGGCACTTAAGGCATAATTGACATCAGAGAATGGACAATACATTCTAAAATGGAATGGAAAATACATTCTAAAATGGAATGGAAAGTGAAGTTTATCATCTTTGTACAGAGGTAGACAGAGACAGCAAAGGAGACACCTGGTTTTGCTACTTGGCAGAGTAACTGAAAGCTCACTGCAAATGCCTAATTTTTTTTCTCTCTTCTTGATCATATTGAGTCAGGGAATCCAAGAGGCCAAGTCACTGACAGTAAAGAAGATTTGCTGTGGGGCAGGGCGGGGGGTGATGTTGTGCAGAGCTGTGTGTCCCCAACTTCAGCTACCAGGGTTCCAGCTCTGTGGTTCTTGCGTATCTGCAGGCTTAGCTGTGCTGCTGTTTACCTAATATTGTTTTGCTCTTGCATTACTTAAATAAATGATTTGAAAAGGAAATTTTACTCTACCATAGTGAGTGGAAAAATCTTTGTCACTTGATGCAAATAGGAAAGACCCATAAAAACAAGTCCCTGCTTATCCAACTAATAAAGTGTCAACCAAAACCCTCGCCATCTTGCTCGGGGACAGGGGTGGGGCGGGGTGGCCGGAGAAGGGACAGGAGCTTTAGACTCAGCTGCAGCCCACCAGCAGAGGCTGTTGACAGCTGCCTTGTAATTTGTAAGACACCAAAGTAGCACAGAATATTAGCAAAGCAAAGAATCCTGAGAAAACAACTGCAAAATGAAAAATTCCAAGACCCAGAGAGGGGCCCAGATTTCCCAAGACAACACACCTGAGTTTGTTTCATACGAATTCATCATCCCTTCCCTGTGATATGTTTTTCATAACAAATTAGCATGGGGTATGTGTGTTTAAGGAAATTTAATTTTATCTATTTATTTCTGAGGACTTATTTCTGGTTCAAAAATCAAAACATACAAAAGAGTATGCAGGGAGGTGTCCTGTGGCCTCTCTCTGGCCTCCCTGTGCCCCTCCTGGGAGCCAGCCAGCTTAGGGATACACTACGTCTACACAAGCCAATGCATACGTGTATATTTGTTCCTTTTTTATAAACACAGACGGGAGCATACTATAAACACTGTTCCCTACTGTGTTCCAACAATGCGATGACGCATCTCCTCTCACTATACAATGAGCCTCCTGCTTCTGTTTTTAGCGCTACACTGCCGTGCCCTCGCAGGGGAGGAACAGGCTTTATTTAACCAGTCCTCGATGGCGGGCATCTACGTGGTTTCCAGTCTGTTGCTGTTACCGACTGCTCTGCAGTGAACAAACCTGTATATTCATCACCGCGGGCCTGTGCGAGGACAGCGACAGGAGAAATTCCTGGCAGCGCAATTAGCATGCATTTTAGAATATTGTTTCCCATGTTTGTAATGTTCTCGTCCCCATGGGGTGGAGGTTTGGGCCAACAAGGTCAAGATCAGGGGACGTGAGCTCCAAAGAGTTGCTTTTTATTTTCTCCATTTCAAGAAAATGCTTCTCTCAGGCTCAGTCTTTAGAAAAAAGGATAATTCAATTTGAGCTGCACACCCCCTGACTGGGTTCTCTATGAATTATGGATTTTTAAAAAGACAGGAAAGGAGGTGAGATATTGAATTTCCAAACTGGTTTTATCTTACTCAATTTAAAGTTCATCTTCTGATTCTGATGTAGGCACTGGTGTGCGAAGCAGCGGCAGCAGCCCCTGTCCAGGCCTTCTCGCAATGAGTCGGGGGGTGACGCACTCCCAGGAAATGCAGGCTTATTCTCTGGTTCCTGCCAGCCAGGCCGCTAGCACACAGCCTGCCTGGGTTTCACGATTTGTAGGAAAACTGGAACCCGAGCCGCGGCCTCACCACGCCATAGTGGGACTTGTCTAAAGGACTTGGGGGCTCCTGTACCACCCGGGGTACTGCCTGGGTGAGGGGCTGTCTCGGGTGGGGTAGCCACAAAGAGAAGACTTTTGAAGATAGGAAATATGGGCAGTGACTCCGAAATGCAGCAAATCAGCACCCTGATTCAGGAGACTGTGCCATCTCTCTGAGGTCCTATCCTTAAAACACCAAGCATGTCCAACCAGTGCTTCCGCACTGCCCGTGGGCCTGGCCCTCCCTGATTGGACTGTTTGGCCTTGACTAGAGACATTTTGGGTTGTCACGACTTGAGAGTGGAAGGGTGCTATTAGCGTCTAGTGGGTAGGGGTCAGAGATCCTGCTAAACATCCCCAAATGCCCAGGACAACCCTCACAGCAGAGAATTAGCCCACCCGAAATGTCAACAGTGCCCTCATTGAGAAAGCCAGCCCTAACCCAGCCTTGAGAGGAAATAAGAATGATCCAGGGACTAAATGTTACCTTCGAAAGGTGGCAGCAGCCATTTCACCCACACTAAGGGGCAGGAGGCATGCCAGACCCACCTGTTCCCAGGCTCTGGCACATGGAGGACCCTCACGGAGTCTCAATCTCCTGAATTTCTATGCTGCAAAAATGTACAGATCACCTCAGAGGGGAAATGTATGAGAGAAGCAATACCCCAGCATCCTCAACAATTTTTCTCCTCTGAGCTCCGAGCTTTTCCAGGACGACGTTACTTTATATTCCTACAATATAAGGCAAGAAGGATTGCTCTTCTCCCTTTCCAGATAGACATATTTTCCAGAGAGCTGGTCCTGACAGCTAGTTAGTGAGGGAGCTGGATCAGAATCGATAAGTCCCGAATCTCTTTTTTATTTTTACAAAATGAAAACAGCTCTTTTTTTCTGATTATAAAAGCGATACATGCACATTGTTCCTTAGAAAATTCACAGTACAGAAAAACATAAGGAAGAAAAAGTAAAAATTACCCAAATCCTTTCATCAAGAGATAAACAAATATAGACAGTTTGGTGCTTATCTTTCCAGCCCTTTCTCTGCACGTGGGCATGCACATATATTACCCAAATGAGGGTTTCTCAGCTTCAGCCCTATTGACATCCTGGACTGGATCATTCTCTGCTGTGGGGCCGTGCTGGGCTTTGTAGGATGTTTAGCAGCATCCCTGACCTCTGCACACTAGATGCTAATAGCATCTCCCCACTCCTGAACTGTGACAACCAAAAATGTCCCCAGACATTGCCCAATGTCCCCTGGGGTGCAAAACTGCCCCTGGTTGAGAACCACTGAGTTAAAGGGAATCATGTACCTACTGTTCTGTACATACCCAATGTTTGGAGAGAGAGAGAAAAGAATAAGGCTTACGACTTTTGTGTCCTTTGGTTTTTAGCATCAGAGTTGGGGGTCAAGGCCCAGTTCTGACATATACAAGGCAAGATCTTTAGGTAAATTACTTGACTTCTGTGAGTCTCAGTTTCCGCATCTGCAGACTGGGACAGCGATGGGACCTCTGTGCCAGGAATGATCCCAGGGGCCCCTGGTTGGTCTCCTTGTGTGCTGAGCTCTGTGCTTCCTGTGGCAGGGAGCCCAAGACCCAAAGGAGGCTGGCCCATTCCCAGGGAGGAGAGGTGGGCTGCAGGGTGATTTATTCCAGGCGCTGAGGCGAGAGGAGCAGCAGGGGGCTGGCACAGACAGCGTCATGAGGTTCTGTTTGTGGGCTTTGTTTTTTAATTCAATTCTTTTAGAAAAGAGATAAGCATATGTCTGCTTCAATCTAGTATGCTAGGTTTTTTCTTTTCGTGTAAACTTTGGTTTCTTTGGAGCTTCTGATATTAAGGAAAAAAAAAGACAAACGTACAAGATCAGTTGGAGGTTTAAGCAAATTGGTTTATTCCATTGCCGGGGGAATTGAGGTAGATGAGTCATAATCTAGGGTTTGTCAGATTTTTACTAAGTAGCATCTGATTTCGATGCTGATGAAAGAGAAGAGACAGCCTCTTGTTCCTTGCTGTCCCCACCCCCTTCAAGCCCTGCCTCCATTTCTGCCTGTGCTCCTTCTCATGCTCAGATGGTGAAGTCGGGCCCATTCGGAGCTAGGTCAGAAGGTGGAAGGACCCTCCCTTCACTAATCGCCAGTGGTCTTGGCTAAGCCTTTGTCAGCTCTGGCCTACAGTTTCCTCGTCTGTAAAACGACCCCCAGAGACCCAGATCTGATTAGGTCCTACCCTCCCTCCTTAGAACGTCAGTCTGTCCCCTAGCTCTCAGGATAACAAGCACAATTCTTCCCAGGGCCACAAGGCCTGAGCTCTGAGCCGTGCCCACTACTTCTCACTTGTCCCCGTTAGCCATCAGGTCGCCTGGCCTTCCTTGGGTCCCGCCTGCTCTCTAGTTCTCTCCCACAGGCCTTTGCACGTGCCATTCCGCCCCTTTGCCGAGTCATGCCTTTCATCCTGGGGTCTCAGCCCTGCATCCCGTCCTCTGGGAGAGACCAGCTCCTCTGTGGCACAGCCTCGTCTACAGCAGATTGACAGGTGCTTCTGTGATGATCCGATTAGCGTCTGGCTCTCATTTGTCCGTAAGCATCCCAAGGGCTGGGGCCCTGTCCAATTTTGCTCACTATTGTATGACCAGTGTTTCACATGGTGCCAGGCATGATCAATAAATGTTTGAAGGAAGGAAGGAGGGAGGGAGGAAGAGACCCTTCCATCTCTAAAAGTGTGATTTTCTTTTCCCTTCAACATCCCAATCTTCCATAGTCAAGTGGTACATGAATATAAGCTCTCTCTGCCTCCTGCCTTCCTCCTCTTCTGGGGGCCGAGGTGAGCATCTCCCATTAGTGGATGGGGAGACGCATCCATTAAGCCACCTGCGATGGCCCATCCGCCACCAGCCAGCGCGTGGGAGAAGCGATGAGTCAGCGCTTCCACGGCATGAGTGACCAAGTGGCCGCTCCAGCCTTCCTGAGGAGCTGTCCTCCGCCTGTAATGGAGAAATTATGTGAGGCATAATTTATAGTAAAAATCAAATGAACATTAATTCTGGTGAGTCACCCATGCAGAAAGGGCACCCGGCGGCTGCGGACGTGGGCTGCGGTTGAGGACAGCTAAATGTTTAATCAAAGTGAGAGAAGACTGTGCTGCATGTTGCGGTGCCTGAGGTTTGGGGCGGTGGGGTGGGTGTTGGTGTCTGAGCCCTTCTTGGTGGCCAGTCACACATCCACACCACCTTGGGGCTCCCAAGCTCAGAAAGGACTGGGCCAGTAGCCCATCAAGCTCCCTTATTTTACAAACGGGGACGTGAAGACCAGGGGGAGACCCCAAACTCATTGCACATCTTGCCCCAAACCACCCCTTGCCCAGCCTTGCTCACCCCTGCCCACGTCCCTGGTGCCCACTCTGCACAGCCCTCAGAAGCCAGGATGCCCGGCCTCCCAGGCTTCCTGCATCTGACACTCTTCTCTCCTCCCCCTGCCACCTCCTCCCTGGTCCAGTGCTATCTCCTCTTGAGGGGCAACTCCAACAGTCTCCCCACTTCCACTTTGGCCTCAAATGGCATTCTAGAAGGAAATTTCCAAAATGCAAACTGGACCGTCACTTGTCTGTGAAACACTTCAGTGGTCTGTCCCTGCCCCTGGGAAAGTCCAGGCTGGAGGCGTGCGTTGGGGGAGTTCTGCAGGTTCAAGACCTTCCCACATGATGTCCTCTCCCCCATGGGTACACTTCCCTTCTGCCTAGTCTCCTGCTACCTCCTCCTCATTCCACATACATGCCACCTCCCCCAGGAAGCCCTCCCTGCTTCTCCCAGCCAAGCCCCTGCTATTCACATGATCAGGGTCTGTTTCAGGCATGGGCTCTAAGCTCCCTGAGGACAGGCCCATGTCCATCTTGTGCCCCTCTGTGTCCCTGGGGCTCACAACAGACCCTGGCTTGCAATAGGTGTGCATACACCTCTTCAGACTGTCCGAAGAGAGGGATGGGTAGTGACTGGCCCTAGAGAGCTGGTGATGGCACTAGGCATCCCTGCTTCTCTTTCTCTTCCCCTGGCCTTTCCAGGACTCTTCCCAGAAGGGAGCTGGTCCTCAGGAAAGCTGAGGGCGGGGGCGGCCCTTGTTTCCATGCACCTGCCCTCCACAGACCCCTGACAGCCCCATCACAGCCCCTCCAGCCTTGGCAGCAGGCCCCGTCCTTCAGGCCCAGACATCACAGTTAGATGTGAAGGAACAGGCTACAAGTGGCTCTCCTTCGCAGGTGGGTGCAAATGCCCGGTACATGGGCACATTGTCTTTTTGAGGATGGCATCAGTCCCAATTCATCTTGCATTACAAGAACATTCTGCCTTTTGAGAAAGTGAAGAATGTCGGGGGACTGTGGGGGAGATATTTTGGGGCAGACGGGGCCTCCCCTGAATCTCCTTCTGCCAAGCGCGTGCTCTGGGTTTTCTCCAACATGGAAATCACTGCCAGCAGCCAGGAAGGCCTGGGCCAACAGCCTCAGGGCTGAAGGGACAGTCTCTGCCAGGCACGAGCCCGCCAGGGAGGCTCTGAGGAGGCCTGGGCCTTTCCCAAGATGTCCCTGGTGCACACATTGGGAGCATGTGGTAGCTTCCAGGACAAGAAAACCTGCCACACCCATCTCGTGCCCTAAACTCGGGCCCAGTGCCCACCCCTCCTCATTTGCACACTGCCCATCTTTGGTCGCAGCCAAAGCCCTAAGCACCTCCTGGACACGACACCACCTTCCTCCCTCCTGCCCAGTCACCCCCTTGTAAGGGACGGTCCTCTCTCACCTTTTCAGCCTGGATGTTGGTTGTGCACCTGCTGGGTACCAGCGCACCTAGGGCTTGGGAGACCCCAGCGGCAGGGCAGAACCGAGCCCCATGGTGCAGCCTGCATTCTGGCAGAAGAGGAACGTCAAGCACTGTGAATATGCCAAAGCTGCAGAGCCATGGGCCAGTTAGGCTGGGGAGAGGGGGCAGCAGCAGCCGCGTGGGTGTGGGGCAGAGCGCCATTTCTCCGCCCGGCCTAGTGTGCTCTGCAGCCCTCACCTCTGGCCCGGAAAGCCCAGGGCCTGCTTCTCGCAAGGCCGGCCGCCACTGTCTATACATCTGTACACCTGTATTTTAAATAAGCTGTATGTTCTAGAATAGTTTTAGATTTAATGAAAAGTTGCCAGGTAGTAAAGAGTTTCTGTGTGCCCAGCAACCAGTTTCTCCCATTGTTATGTTGCCATGTTAATGAATCACAACTAATGAATCAATATTGATAGATTATTAACTGAACTCCACACGTGACTCAGATTTCACTAGTTTTTACTTAATGCCCTTCTTCTGTTCCAGGAGCCCATCCAGGCACATTGCTTTTCATTGTTGTCTCCTCAGCCTCGTCTTGGCTGTGACAGTTTCTCACGTTTTCCTTGTTTCTGACGGAGTTTCCCTGCGAGGAGGCTGGCAGATTGGCAGAGCGGGCCTGGCGCTCGGGTCGTGGTTCCATTGGCGCCACCGGCCTGGGAGGAAGCCCACAGCCACGAAGTCCTTCTCATCACGTCCTGTCAGGGGCCAGGCACCCCATGACTCATCACTCAGTGTGAACCCTGGTCCTCAGGCTGGGGTGCCATTCCCATTTCTCGACTGTGACGTTCACTGCCCCTCCTTGCACTGTACTCTGGAAGCAAGTTCCCAGGTGCCATCCAGACTTAGAGGAGTTATGCTCCCACTCCTTGAGGGGCCATCTACACAAATTCTAAGTCTCTGTACAAGACAGTTGTCTCTCCTGCCTACTCACCTACTTAGTCAATTGTTTAGATCAGTGTGGCCTCACGGATATTTAATTTCTACATCGGGTTAGAATCCAATACTACTTTGTTCATCAAATTATTCTAGTCTGGGCCTTTGAGAGCTCTTTCAGAGGCTCCTGTGTCCTTTCACGCCCCTACTTTGTGTCTTTTAGAACTTCCTTACTTCCTGCCACTACACCACGCTCCAGGCTCCTCCTGCAGGCCTCGCCCCAGCCCAGGAATAAGCTTTTTTCACAAGGAGCCTATTCCTTTCATTGGAGAATGGTATTAGAAACCAAGATCTGGGTGCGGGGTGTGCTTGCTGCTACTGGGGTGCCATGCTTCTAGGCGCTTTCAGAGCCCTGGGCAGAGCCAGGAAATGTGTGTGTGTACACCAGACTGTGTACACGCATTGATCTAGAATGACCTCTTCATCCATCCGTCAGTCTCTAGATGGAGCTAAACATCCTCAATCACCAGGACCTTAGAAGGGCACAGACTGTCTTTATATCCCAGCTGCCCTGGGGCAGTAAAGTCTAGGCCAGGTTTAAAGAGGGCACCAGCTGATGAGCTAAATCTTTTTCTTTTTCTTCTGTCAAGTAGGTCAAGGGAAAACTTGGGTAAGCTAATTGTGCACCAGTAGTTCTCGACTAAGGGGTTCATTTCCTCCCTGGAGGACATTGGGCAATGACTAGAGACATTTTTGGTTGTTACCACTGAGAGCAGGGGTGGCATCTGGTGGGTAGAGGCCAGGGATGCTGCTAGCCATCCTACAATGCCCAGGACGACCCCACCACACGAATGACCCAGCCCCAACCATCATGGTGCCCAAGGTAGAGAAGCCTGAGGGTACAAAGACACAAACAGGAAGGAAGACGTTGGGGGCCCCCACTTGAAACAGCAAACTGTTTTGTTTCTCCTATCCCACTGCACTTTTCCACAGAATTTATCACTTCCTAGCAGACTGCGTAATTCCGATTTCTTGTTTACGGGTTTCCTCTCCCCACCAGAGAGAAGTCCACATGGAAGGGGTGCGTGCCCCTCCTGTGCACTGAGGTGCCCCAGCCCCAGGACGGGCCATGTGCCCGTTAGCTGAAGGGGGGTGGGAAGGGGAAAACAGGAAGCCACAAGAAGGTTGGCCTTGGCAAGGATGGTCACATTGTTTTTCCCTGAGACAGAAGGAAAGGCTGCAGCTGAGAGAAATGGGTGACAGTCAGTATTAAAGAAGGGAGGCAAAGTCCACAGCAGGGCTGGGGGCAGCGAGAGATGCGGAGCCTTGCGAACAGAAAACGTTTGGAGAAGTGATGGGGCGGGTGGGAGGGAAGCAGGCAGTCTCACCTTCATAGCCCCGTGCCCACCTCCGGGCGCCGGGGAAGCACTCAGAAGGGGAGAGGGCTGGGGAGCTGGCTGCAAAGCTCGCTGCCCGTTCCCACAGCCAGCTCCCAATGACATCGAGCCTTCCCTGCTGCGAGTGCTGTCTGGGGCAAGGGCCTCATTCTCTTTGTTCTCATCTCTTGGCCTTTGGCAGTGTCCTTAGCCTCCTTGTCCAATTTGCCTAAGGCCTTTTCTGCCTGGTGCCTCGTTGAGGGGGCTACTCAAGCCTAGCGCGTGAAACTCCAGGGCCCAGGCAGCAGGGCAGCCTGGTGGTGGCTTCCTGCCCAGCCATCTCCAAGAGCCCAGCTCCCAAGCACGTCCCAATGACAAACCCCCCAGCACAAAGCCACTGTGGGCCTGCCACCTTGCCTGCATAGCTGAGCTCCCCCCTCGGCTCACCCCCTCCAGCCTGCTGAGCCAGGTTAGGCTCCGTGATGGTTTGTGAATGGGCTTCAGGGATCCCTATGTGCTGCTGTTGCGATGGGGTGAATTTGTGGTTTCTCAGAGGACTCGTCTTAGAGAATTCATTTGCTCTAAGGGGAAGGCGTCTCACCCTTGCTTCTTCTGCTCTCAGTACATTCTGGGGACCCTCTGGCCCCCATGCCTTCTGCCCGTGCCCAGAGCCTTCTATAAATTGTCAGAAAGTCACTCTGCACATGAGATGGATCCTTCGACTTCAGTAGCCTTTTTTCATATCAAGTGTCTTTGAATCTTTTTGCTCTGTCCATCCATTCGTCTGCCCATCCGTCCATCCACCCAACAATTACCTGAATGCTTACTCTGTTCTAAGTGTGTGAGAAAGACAGGCCCTGCCCTTTGGGGTTTGGTCTGGTC